CGAGCCTCCATTCTGAAATCTTAACCGCCAGTCCTCAGTTACAGACATATTTCACACAGCTGTGACCATAACATACACATTTTTGTACTACTTAATATGTACAAAAATCAGTTCTACTATTTGGAAAAAAAAAGTTACCCCTTTATAAAATCTGCCTGTCTCCTCACTGTCACCAGCATACAATGTGTTCTGGAGTGTTCAGAGGGAGCAGAAGACAAAAAAGCTGTTCTGACCAGCAGATCCCATTTCACACCTGGCCAGGGGCACCCCTGCGCACCTCACCTTGAGCCGCACCACGTGGGGGACCTTCACGCCATTGAGGAAACACTTGATCTGGGGGATCCCACTGCCAGCAGCTACCGGCTGAAAGAGGGGGAAGCAATGAGTAGGTTGCATGGGAGGGGCCCATGTCTGGGGACAACCACTCCCACTCTCCCAGCTCCACGACCTGACATGAAGCACCCTGAAGGATGAAACCCTATGGGACAGAGTAGAGACAGAGACCCACGTGTCCCCACGGGCTTAAGGGCAGGGTGGGGATATTCTAGGGTGGGCCAGAACCCATCAGGCACCAAGCATAAAGACCTGCTTCTGGCACATGGGGCCACCACGCTGTACCCCAAACAAAAGGTTCTAGATGTTGCTCTATCTGCCTCCCACCATCCATGACAAGGAGGGGGGGCCAAAGGGAGACTTCTGGGGGAAGCTCTAGGATGGAAGGGCAGCCCAGGAGGGTCTGAGCCTTTGGAGGAGGGTTCCCACTAGGGCTGGTCCTGCTCCTTCCCTGCCTGGACCCCTGGGGCTGAGTCACCCTGCTCCTAAAACTGCATGCGCTGGAGCACCCCAGCACCCAGGTGATCCAGCCTGGGCAGATCTTACTACATGTGAGCACTAGGTGTGTGTGGTGTGGGGGCTGTGGGGGCTTGTGTGGCCATGGATTTGTGCTGCTGGGTCAGTAGCACCACCAGGGTCTGGGGTGAAGTAGCCTGGACATGTGCCCTGTTTCTCCCGGGCAGCTTCCTGTCTGTACCATGTGGCTCTACCAGAAACCCTCCCTGGTAACCAGTGGCAGGGCAGCTGGGGTAGACAAGCTGAGGCTTCCCATCTGTTCACCGAAACCCTCTGAGCCCACCCTGGGTCTGACGCCCCAGGGGCCTCCTGTACCTCTATGAAAGCCACAATCACAGACCCCACGAGCACAAAGGCAGAGTTCAGCGTTGCCCAGAGCAGGAGGGAGAAGGAAAGTCCGCCCTTCTCAGTGAACTTGTCGACATCTGGGGTTTGTCAAGGATGACCACTGCTTCACATCAGGACTCTGCACCCTCTACCACCCCATAGCCCAACCTCCGGGCCACAGAGGCTCAAGCCCTAGGACAGTCCAGACATCTCCAGGTGCCCAGTGGCCCAGCAGGACCACAGTGATAACTGGACACCCAGAGACACCTCACAGTCCAACTGTGACAAGGCCCACCCAACCAGGCCTCCTAACTGGTCTGCGCAGACTCGGGCCCCAGGCATCCCACTAGAGCCCGTGCTGTGTGGGCACATGGACAAAGGATGCTGTTCTTGATGACCCTGTACTTTAGGCCGGCCAGGTTCTCCACCACGATGTCAATGAAGCAGGCCACAAGGCCCGTGAGGATCCCGATGAGAGCACAGATAACCCAGCGCTTGATCTCCACTGTGCGGAAGGCCTACGGAGGTGGGGGGGTGTGTGTGCTATGATGGCCAGCAATCTTTCGAAGGCCACTATGGCCTGACAGCACAACTGGCCCCTGGCCACCTACAGCCTCTGGAATTCTGAAGGTCACTACCATGCAAAGCACACTGTACTTGGGACCCCCAAGTCCCACAAAGATCTACCCCTGCCAATGTCTCAGTGACAACAGAGCACCTCAAGGCGTCAGTAGGCAACTCAGGGAGGCAGGTGACTTTCTCTACAGGTTTACAGTCAGGCGTTGATATTTGGGGAGTGCCCCTAACATCTGTAAGAGCAGCTTTCTTAGTTTCTGTGACTGTGACACACTCTCCTACAAGTTCTAGTACCTGGGGTTGGGACTCACTTGCCACAGCCCCCATGGAATGAATGGTGGCTCTAGGACTCAGAGGCTATGGGACAGAGGAGGGGGCTAGGGATGAGCCTCCTCCCCGGGAAAAAACAGTGGTACAGGCCAGTCTACAGTCACCGGATGGCTGAGCCAGCCCTTGTCACAAGAACTCACTCTGTGGGTTGGACTGAGGGACACCTCCCAGGCTGGGGTGTCTTGGCTGCCCATGTGACTCACCGTGTGATTGATCCGCCGCTCCTCCTCCAGGAAGAGCTGGTTCTCACTGTTGTCATAGTCTAAGCTCTGCAGACCGGGACAACACCACAACCCCATTACTAACCTGACACTGCAAATGTGGGTCGGGAGGGACAGAGGCTGGGGTCTCAGGAATAGGAGGAGACCCACCTCATACTTAAGGGACAGGAGCTTCTCATTGTGTGGAATCTCTTTGGGGAAAGGAGGAGGAGGATCCATCTCCTATGGAAGGAAAAGGAAGAGAGATACACTTGACAATCAGGAAACTGGAGAATGAAGCACAAAATAGGATGAAGGACTACACCCCATTTCATTCCAGGACAGGCATCACAAGAAAACCACAGATAATATCCCTACAAATACACTGGATGCAGTGGCTCATGCCTGTAATCCCAGTACTCTGGGAGGCCGAGGCAGGGGGATCACTTGAACTCACAAGTTCATATCCAGCCTGAGCAAGAGTGAGACCCAGTTTCTACTAAAAATGAAAAACTGAGGCAAAAAGATCACTTGAACATAAGAGTTTGAGGTTGCTGTGAGCTATAACACCACAATAAGAGTACTTGGTAGAGACCAAGGGTGACAAAGTTAGACTCTGCC